CCCCCCCCCCCCCCAAATGTTTGTCCATTGAAAAGCCTGCTCAATACAACATCGAAGAGGAGAGAGGCTTCATTTACTCAGGAAAAGAACAACTCCCCTGTTTCAGCCTCAGAAAAGAGGTCAATTTCCTTCAAAGGCGGGAGTCACATTCCCTTTGCACTTCTGATAGGAGCTGCTCCAGTGAAACTCAGCTGAAAGTAAATGTTTCTGGCTAGTTCTAGCATTCCCCTCATCATTAATGCACGGGCATGGCCATCGAGGCTTCAGAACCTGCCTGAAAGAGGTGACTCCTTCCCCTCATCCTTTCAAGGACACAGTCTTTGGACTTCTAGTAATATGTTTGTAAATATTTGCATTGGACGACTATGTGTAAGTTCTCTGCTGTTAACATCCTCACACCCAGTAAGTACCTAAGTGGATGTGCACCTAAGCAGGAAGTGCATAGCACCCTCTGGAGCAGGCCATTTGTATTTCTTGAAAAAGTTCAGATGACCTTGGATGTTTCTGATTAAAGGACTTCTGTTGCCATCTGTCAGCAAAAGTCATATTCTTTCTGGAAAAGGTCAGTGGGTTTTAACTTTTTTGGAGGGAACCGTAACAGCAGCCAGGGTTCTTTAAAATGTTCTCTCTTCCCCTGTCCACCCCCAGATGCCCAAGGATTCAGCAAACACTGGAGAAGCACAGGACACAAGCTTGAGTGTGAAATAGCAATACATTCTCCACTGAAAAATAATAAAACAATGTTTTTAATTATACAGGAAAATGGGGCAAGTTGTTGGGCCATCCCAAGCTGGAACACTTTACATCAGTCTATTCATATGGAACTCAATAGATTGTTCAGTTCTAAAATTTTCTGATAAATAATCTCAATGGTCAGTTTTCCTCTCCCCTTCTACTCAAGTGAAAACAGAGCTTTATGGCCTTCCTTTTCAACTTGGGGAAGAAGAGCTGGGAAAAGACTCTTTGCAAAAAGGCAGCCATATTTGTACTTCTTCCCCCAGTGCACAGATAAGGGATGTGCTGGGCTTTGTGGAATGTCACAAAATGGCAATCCCTAAACCGACTTTTCGCTAGGAACCATTGAGACCCGCACCCTCTTTTGTTTGTTTCTGGTCCTTGCAAACAAAGAACCTAAATCACTAAGAAGGCTTGGTTCTTTCATTTAATGTTAACATTAGAGTGTCCTATTTTCTCTAAACGGTTTACAAACCTCTCTAAGCAGATTCCCTAAACAGTACAGTGAAGAGGAGCAGTTGCCTCGGTCTGCAAAGGGTTCTCCGAGGCTTATGCAAATTTCTGCAGCAAAAGACGTTGGCTCAGTTGCCGCAACCCCCGTATGTTAACAGATTTTAGCCAATTAGAAGGGAATCTTCTGCACTCGTCACTGCGAGTCTGTCTGCATGAAATACCATGATGGGCAGTTTCTAGCCACTATAAAATAGAAGGTGGTGAGTGTGCGTGATGTGTAATTCCCCAAGCTCTTTCTTTGGAGACAAATCTACGATTTTCTTAGCTACAAAAGGAAACATACATACTGACATTTATTTATTTATTACCAACACTTTCTGCACATGTGTAATCTATGTGTATGTACAAATCCACCAAATATATACCCAAAATTATCAAACTTATATAAGTACAAATACTCTCAAATACACCACAAATTGCAACAGTTTTTCTCCTGTACATGAGCTACGATTTTACCATGTGGTTAGGGGAACGATGGGGCCAGAAGGTACAGCCCTTCCAGAGCAGCACAGAATGCAGAGGAGGTAAGGACATTTTTACTCCCCTTCCTTCCTTATTTCCACATCCATCCACACACCAGGACCTCCACCTAAGAGTCTTGCCCAAATCAGTGGCTCTAAAAGTGATATTTGGGGAGTACTCTTGGGTGGGGAAAAAGCAAATTTTGCTAATAGAGGAGTCCCTTAAATGGAGGGCAGCTGGAGTTTAGCCAGTACCAGTCTCTGGCCAGCTTACCGCTACCCCCACCACACACACAGGCTGTTCCCTAGTCACGCTTTCAGGCACTTGGCATCCTTGCTCTTTATCAGCCAACAGCAGTCTCAGGCAGCACACAGAGCAAAATGTTTCCAAATCCAGCATGCACGTTTGCAGCTGTCTCCTCTCCTGCAAATGTTTCTTAAGCCGCAAGCCACCCATGACTTAAAATTGTCTTTCCTGGCTCAGGTCAGCGAATGCCACAGCCACGGTCTCTTCCCTGGATAGAAAGTCAGGCGGTAATTCGGCTCTGGCCCAATCAGTGACAACATTTCCCTGGTCCTTGAAGTGGAAAGGAGGTGATCCAGTCCTAATACTATAGAATTCAATTTCCTTACCTGTGCCATAAATGCCACTCTGAAAATTAAAATGTACCTCTTTAAAAATAAAGGCATCTAGAAAAGGCAGAGAACTCCTCAATGTCTACCTGACAAAGTTGCTTTCCCTTTTGAGGGGGAAATGTTAGTTTACTTCAATTTCTTCTCTTTTCTCCCGCCTCTTCCCCCCCTCCTCTTCTCTCATAAAATGGCAGCTGCAGGAGCAGCCTCAAATGGAAATCTTGTTAATAAGAGCCCAAACCCCAGCATCAGTGCAGGCTCAGCAGAATAAGCTGTGGTGTAACCTGGACTCTGGGTCGTCCCCCACTGGGCCTACAACTAGAGTCCTTTGTGAAGTTCAAAGCTTTCACAGTATCTTAGCAAGGTTATTTAGAGCAAGATGAAGCTGGGGTAGCCTAGTCAGCCCTCTCTGGAATGAAAGAGACCTCCCCCCACCCCCACATTTATTTATTTTTATAGCATGTAACCCCCACCTCTTTTTTTTTTTAAATCAAATAGGAGCTTTAGCAGGACATTGCCTTCATGTAAGCAAAGGCAATTGTTCCCAACTCAGGAAAAGGGTTATTTGCGGCGCTCAAAGACACTAGCTCTAGAAAAAGATTCATTTCTTTATTAAGGAGCTGGCTATGTTCTGGGGCGGCTGTTTACACTTGGATTTTTCTGCATTTGCTCCCAGTGCTCATTTCAAATAGGTGAGGGCATCCTGGAGAACAACAGAGGACGTACCAACCGACATCTGAGACGCACACAGTAAGTTGGCTCAAAATGGGCGTGCAAACAGAGAGAAGGGAATACAAATAAATATGGCACCTACTCAAAAAAAAAGGGGGGGGGGGAGAATCACAGTGGCAGCCACAGCATTGAGACCTAGCAGTTTCAGTCGATACCAAATGCAATTCAAAATAAAAGCAAGCTTTAAAAGGAGAAGCATTCCACAAAGCTACTTGCCAGAGTGAAAAATTAATGAATGAAAATGTTATAACTGGCTTTTCAAGTATTCACTCACTCTAGATTATTAAGTTGCCATATTTGTATAGACTATAGAAAAATTATTAAATGTCAACGTTGACATTGCCCTGAAACTTTTGTCACTGGCACAACATTTTCCCCAAGTTTAAGGAAGCTGCAGAGCCGGGACTACACATTACTCTCTTCAGTTAACATGTGCTTTTCAAATATTTGGCCCAGACTCTTCCCAGAGATACTACATTTACAAAATAAAGAAACCTCTTAGGAGTAAACAAAAGGCACCTGAACCATTATTATAAAAGCAGAAAGAAAAATACATAAATAATACACTTTAATCAAATAAAATAAAGTAAATATTCTGCAGGCATAATTTTTTAAAAAAAATTAATAAGACTTCTTTTAATTTACTCACCATAAAGAAAAGATTTAAAATGTTCAAGTGCACTTGTTTGATTAATAAAGCGTTTTATATTCAATTACTTAGTGCTAATCATTAGGAAGTTTACGTTGTCGAGGCAAATCACCAGCTCAGGCATTAAAAACTACCGTTATAAAAAGTTCGCTATAAAGTCAGCATCAAGTTACCCTTACATAGGACAGCTCGAGGGCCGTTCCCATGTGATACAAGAAACCCTCTTAAACACCCAAATCCCTCTCAAAGCCCAGAAACCTCAAGAGCAGTGACATGAAGGTACTTGAGACACAGGTACAGTCCTTCCTACAAAGAAAATGGGTGGCGTCCACCAGCATATGTTGATCGTTAGCTTTAACAGTCTGTGGTAAAATTTTAAAGGCAGACGTTAATGCGCGGGGCCTTCAGTCCTGTCTCCCCCCGGCTCCCCGGCCTCCTCGGAGGCCCCCCCCTTCCCCTCCTGCCGGGACGCCGGGAACTTGTCCCTGTTGTTCTCCTTTTTCCACTTCATCCTGCGGTTCTGGAACCAGATCTTCACCTGCCTTTCGGTGAGGGCTAGGGCGTGGGAAACCTCGATTCTCCTCTTTCTCGTCAGGTAAGGGTTAAAAAGGAATTCCTTTTCCAACTCGAGGGTTTGGAAACGACTGTAGGTTTGTCTTCCCCTTCGTCTACCAGGAGCTGCTGATTAAGACAAACAAACAAAACAAAACAAAAAAGGGAAAAGAAGAGGAAAATAAACGTTTTGACATGGCCCGGTGTCCCCGCAGGTGGCGAGGTCTCCGGCGCGGGCTGGGGCGGGACACACGCCTCTCCAGCTCGGAGCCGCGCCCGCTCCCGCGCCC